CAGCACGGAGTTGGTGCTACTGTAAAACCAGTTTCTCTGGCCCAGAGCCATCCACCTCTGAGTTCATAAAGAAAATGTATTGCATTTTAACAACAGTCTTTTAACATGCCTTTGGCAGTCAGGGAATGGGACTCCGAACTTCATCTCCATCTTTGATATTCAAGAGTCAATCAAAACTACCACACGCCTGAGGAAAACTGCTGTCAAACACAGTGGCAAATTAGGATAAATCAAGGCTTTGACAGTTATAAATGTAAACCGTGACAAAAAACGACAAACGTGAAACTGACGACCTCCCGAAACTGAAGTAAAGTTCTTGTCGACTTTTATGGAAGAACTGACTGAGAACAGTAAAAGTGGAAAGTATAAATGTCCAGTGAATGAGCACTCCCTGAAGACGTGTCAACTTCTACATTGTTTTGGGTTCACAATAAATCTAAGGACATCAGTTTTTAAAAGGCCAACCATCATTTGGAGGACTGTTACAGCTAAGTAGCTGCTGCTGTTGCTTCTACATCTTCCTATCCTTTAATCATTGGTGCCGACCACAGGCTGTATAAGAACTAGACACCATTGACATCACCAATTTGTTTCGGAAGCAGAGTTTTGAAGCCTGACCAACTTAACCTAACTTGAGCCTAACTTGTATGGCTACAGTGAGTCTGTCTATCAATCAAGTCAGCCCGGCCTCTGATTCGTCAGTCTGGAAAACTTAAAAAATCTCTTTCACAACCAAACAACCAGGACGTGGTGACTCCTTCCATTTTTTAAGGATAGCTCAAAGGCTGCAGTGCAATTCAAGACACTGTGCTTTCCCAAATAAATTATGAACGAAGTGCATCCTTCATGGACATATTTCAAGATCTATTGCATGCTGATCAAACCAGATGGTGGACCCTCCAGTGACCAAATGGTATACTTTTTCACCAGTCAGAACGTGACCAGCACTGTGGATCCCTTAGATATTCAAGGCCCTCTGCATTTGCATAAGAATGGAAAAGTACCGTTGCATGTCTCCGTGTTAGGTGACATCTTCAGTTGCGTCACACCTGCAATCACACCCACATCTCTGACACCCAGGAAGTATTTATTCATTCATTTGTTTTTATCAGCTGCTTCATCTTGTTGTCTTTTGATCTGTGGGCTGGGTGTGTTTCGTATCTCTGCTTACTCTTAAGCAGACTGGATCACCTGAGTTGTTTTAACAGCGTAAATTGTTTTTTCTTCCTTGGGTGCTGCTTGTACATCTCTACCAGAGGCTCAGACTTCACCTCCTTTAACTATTTGCACACCTGTTCACCCCTTTGGTTGACCTTTAGTGCCCTCCCCACTCCTCTTTACACATCCATTCTAATCCAAATGTACCAAAACAATCAACTGTTTTCACACAGGCTGTTCATGCCAACAGTGAGAAGCTCAAATGCTGTAATAATGATGCATTAGTGCTTTCAATGTCAGAAAGTTGCTCAATGCAGGACGTCTAACCAACTGTCAAAGCTTTAACTTTCTCACCTGGATTGTAACAGAATAACGATAATGAATAGTGATTATTCGGTGGGTCACTGTGCTGTTCCTTTGTGACTAGCGTTGCCAAGAGCTAATCTCTGTATCCTCCAACACAAACAGACAGCTCTCAGAGAGCACTCACTCGCATTTCAGTGCTTAAACTCAGAGTCTTTGGGGACAGAGGCTACAAGCAGCAGGTTTAGGGCTGGGCCAGCCAAGATTTCAAGAAGGGCCCGTGCCATTCTTGGTCTACAGTGGCCAACAAGGGCTGAGGATCTGCAACGACAGTTAAATGAGCCCCATAGATGATCTCTATGGTGAGAAACTTGCAGCAGTTTCTTGAATGATCCACGTTCAGAAAAACACATACAAAAGATCAGAACACAATGCAACAATAGAAATGCACTGTAAATAAGAAAAACCTGCTGCAAGTCACAACATCTGCATTAATGGGAAACGTTTAACAAATATGCATACCACACTCCCAAGCTGAAAACAAATTTATGAGACATAAATACAGTGAACTCCTTTATAACGGGAGAGCTCTGAGCCTGTAGGGATAATAAGTGAAACTACCTGATTTGCAGCGTTTATGGTTCATGCAGGTCGTTTGTTGCTTTTGTATGTTTTTAACTTTGCCTCATGAATGGATTTGCTGTGCATTTGTCATTGATTAATGCATTTGTTTTTGCTTTTTGCAGCATGATTTCTATTTTCAGTGCATTTCCACTGTTACCAATACTCTGGACCTTTGTACCTGCCGTTGAATTTGCATCATAAAAGCACTTGGAGCACATTTTTCCATAGAATGATCTTTCAGGGCTGTTGCAGATCATCTGACTCTGCTGACCACTGTACTGGCAACCTCTGTGAACATGCATCTGCATGTACAGTGAACAACTTAAACTGATTGGCCCTCCCCTCATTTTGCTCAGTATTCAATGGCTTGTTAAATAATAGCACCTGTGAAACATAAATCTGCATTATGGTCCTTCACATTCTTTCAGCACAGCCATTCAGAACCTGTTTTCTACAAGTGGATGTACTTTACGGTTTCAAAACGAAGCCCATTTTATTAGCGTATTAAACCTGCCTGTCTTGAATGTATAGTGCAAAAAGGATAACTTTACTGATTGTAAGAAAGTTCAATTTACAGTTAGAACCATAAAAGTAAGTAAGCCAAATATTTCCTTTATGATAGCCAGGCATGCATCTTCTTTTTGAGCCTTTGGACTCAGTTTTTGGTTTAAAGTTTTCCTCTGTTCAACAAGAAGTCTGTCTTATCCAACCAATGCCCCCATCATTAGTAAAATATGCAAAAAAGCAGGTTAGACTTTCGGCTGTGACTGTCTGTGATAACATGCCATTAATAGTGACCTTTCAGCCAGATTAAGTCACTGAGTATCCACTCTGATGTCCAAATATGGTCACTTCTGGTCCTGAAAACCAGAGATGCAGGGCCGCCATAATACCCACAAGATTCCAGAAGAGGATCATTGGATGATGACGTGGTGGCAACATCCATTTATTCAATACATCTAAGCTCAGACACCATGTCAAAAAGCAGATCTGTGCTTTCACTGTAAATGTTTGAATCTGGATGTTGTTGTTTATTTTACTCTTGTATTGATTTTCTGATTTTAAATTGTGGTGCTCCATTTTTACCCTTTTTTTCCATCTGTTGCTTAACTGATTAGAAGTTTTTCAGCTTCATGCTGCTGTACCTTTCATCAAAGGGAAGTATAGAACCGGTCTGATGAGCCAGAAAGTATTTTTCCCCTCAGGTGAACACTGGAGTGTCTCTTTCTACCCTGCCTGCTGTCTCTGTTCGTCTTTGAACATGCGGCGAACATGCACAAACACATGCAGACTCCTTCAGCCTGACTCAACTGTTTGAGTGGTTGGTTCTCCAGAGTTTCTGTTATGCAATTCGGTCCCTCATCCTGGTTTCTTTGCTCAAACCTTCAACTTCCACTTTTGCTACTTCAATCTATAGCTTAAGAAGTCATGATTAAAGAAGATGAAAAAAAATGTTGGTAATTTTGTTCAGTTCTAGAAGTGAAGACTTTAGGTTTCACTTTACCGTTTCCCAGGTTTACTGTATCAAAACTTGGCTCCAAAAATCTGCTCGCAGCTCCTCCCTCCAGTCTTTAAACCATGCTGGGCCAGCAAGCCCGGACAAATCCCTGTCATCCTTCAGGAGCACATGAAAGAGGCTGTCAGCTCCAGGAGTGTGCTGTTCCACTGCTCCAAGGCCTGTTATTTACGCTGAGAGGAGGACTGACGTTTAAAATTCTCACTAATTTTCACAGAGTTATGTCGTTGTCAACCAGAATAATACCTTGTAACGCCTGATCATCGCCTGATGCCTAACTGTTACATAACTATTAAATATTGCACAAAGAAAATTGGGCCTGTATGTGTTTGTCTTCAACAAGTTAATAATGTCTGCAAAGGTCAACTTTAAAGCTGTTTTGAGGAACTTTTGGTTTTGTTATTGGACTGATTGATCAGACTGATTCATTGGAATAATGGACTAACACCTGCACTGAAGAGGCCAATAAAACAATGAACTATGTCTACAGACACTGCAGGTAGTCTCTCCACTGTCACTTATGTCAAACAGTGTTAATGCTGCTCTTTGTGTGGCAACATATTTGAACCATTTTTAATGACAGTACCTCAAATCTATTTGTTCCAATGCTTCCAGAAGCAAATGGAATATTTTGTGACACTGAGTGTGGGATGAGCAAGGGACATTGTAATCTCATTATTAGACTCGGTAAGACAACACATGAACTTGTAGATAGAATGTCTCAGTACAGCCTGAAATGTGGGCACATAATTAATAACAAACATATGAATTGCACTTGTCCATCTTGGTATTTTGAGAAATATTCTGTGTTTCATATAAATGATGTAGTTTAATACTGCTTTTTATACAGATATGAGTCACATTCTAATATTTGAATAAAATAGGTACAGACCCAACTTTAACACTTGCCATAATAACCATATATATACAAGTTTTTAATGTTTCCAGAGTAATGAAATTATTCCGGACTTTTTTCACTTCAATATGTGGAAGCTCTCTAAATATCAACATAAGCATTGACCTATAAAAGCTAGAGCTCTTGTTGATATTGTCTGATGCTGAAGGTCTCTTTTGTTTTTGTAGGTCATAAAGATAGGCCTATATCACATTCAATTTTGAGTTCAACTGATTTTACAGCTGGATAAAAACTCCTCACAGTGGCTTTAAGTCCAGTGATGAATAAAAAAAAAAACATCTGACAGGCCATGTTTGCTTAACTCTGGAGTTTATTGATCTCATAAAAAATTAGACAAACACAAAGTTACAGAAGCTTTAAAATGGGACAATTCCTAACATCCAACACCCACCACCCATGATTATTACAATATTATAGATATTATAATATATTATAATCTGATTAGTCACAACAACCTGCTTGTTGGACGGCTTTTTATAATTACACTGAATAAACTCATATGAATACAGTCAAGATGAGATATTTAAAGATCTGGAGTGAGACACATCTGAGTTTTACATTTAAAACTAAAAAGTCTTCTTACATCTCAGAATAACTGTCAAAATCTCATCATCTTACAGAGGAACAAAAATATTATTATGCGAATCTGGATAATATATTTTGTGCTCTATTACAAGAGAAGGTGATTATAAACTCTGCTAACACCTTGGCTTTACACCTGTTAAAATACACCTGTTAAAATGAGACTTTCCTTTGAACTGGCTTATCTATTAAACAGCCAACAAATGAACAAAATAAAGTTCAACATTAATAGATGAGTCCTCATTTTTTAATATGCACATGAAAGGCTAAACATGTAGCTTTACTTCCCATCACCATACAATGCTGACTAAATGGTTAATGTCCTCGGGTATCAAAGTCCTTGAGCGGTCTAATGTGAATCCTGTGAGTTATGATCCGCAGTGGGGAGAAAAACGCCCCCCTCTTACAGTAAAAATGATTTTTACCCAATAAAAAGATTGACAAGAACTTATTAAAGGGCCAGTTTCACATGGGTTTTAAACATGAATCAATATTGCAGACTGTCTGCTATTGGGTGTATGCTTTTAAAAACCCAAAGGATCTGTTTTAGTGTCAGAAAGACTAAATAATTTCTACTGGAGCTTAAACATTTTAAAGCTCCTCTCACAGGATTTCCCATCTAGATCTCAATAGACACACTGATTGAGGACAATTAGTTACTGGTATGTAACAAACAATGGAAGTTTCACAGAAACCACCGAATGTGCACCTGATGGTTCTGTGCAGGCTGCACGAAAAACATCTGATCGCAAGTCAGACATTTTCACCACACACAGAACCTCAGATGCTTAACATATAACAGGCTTGAACTCGAGCTCAGAAAGAACAGAAACTTATGTTGGTCTCTATTCAAGAGGCTCAAGCCTGAATCAACACAGAACATTACTGTCGGGGTCCAAAACAGCCCTGCCGGGCCGACGTGCCACAAGGGTCAAGCAAACCTGGGCTGCAAACTCTGACTCCCCTGAGAGAAAGAAAGAGGACAGGGTAAGTCATCAGAGGTCTGGATAGAGGAAACAGTCAGTGGGTTTGCAAAAATCTCACTTTATAGTCTCTTATACCCCATTAAATAAGATACATGATACTCTAGAAAACAAGAACCAACAAACTTGAATACAAATATCAGTCACCGCTGGCTCCTCTGTTATTTTTAGGGGTAAAAAGATTAAAGTTGAACATGTGCACAGGAGGATTTACAGCTGCTTGCTTGCTCAGAGCTCATGAGTGTCATTGGGAAGAAAGAAGAAGCCTTTTAGAGAACATATATTTAGTATATGCACCTGATTTTTTCCTGGATTTTTGATGTTGTGGGTATTAAAAAGGTCCAAAACATTGGATAGAATATTCATAAAACAAGCTCTTTCTCGCTATTGCCAGGCCACAAGCAGGTGTGTGGTTATAAATCAACGCAGGATGTACATCAACATTATAGTTTGATTTGATTATACCATTAAGATAATCTCCTGTCAGACTCAGCTGCACTTCAGTATCACACTCACGCGAGCACATGTTAAGTCAACATGTGTGCATTTAATTGCTGAAATAAGTAAATATTATTGGAGGGGAGTCTTTAGGTTTTTTTTGGGGCGGACAAACTCTGGGCTGTGAGTTGACAGTAATTGCTGAGTAGGTATCATATTCTACCTGATATGTTTTGATCATGAAATCTCATTCTCTGGACCATATTCAGCAGGTAAACTCATTTATTGAATTGATCATTCTTTTGGCAAAGCTTGTCACAGCTGGACCTGGTTGGGCGCACTGTGTAGATCTCATTCACTCTACTTGTAAAACTCTCCGGTCTATATCTTAAAAGCTTTATGTGCACACTGCTGCAAGTCTTTGCTCAGTGTCCTAGATACCTTGAAAAATAAATTCAACTGTGACGGCCTGGGCTGCTTTACTGACATGCAGTAAGTGCCCCATCAGAGGAGACATTTCAGACCCTGAAGGTTTTGCTGCCAAAGTCCTCATGCTGACAATGAGAACATCTAAAAATAGAGCGGTCAAATCAAAGGCAAAGTCGACTGACATGACTTCTGAGTCCGTTCACCGTCATTATGCAGAAGTGACGGCACAATTGCTGTGCATGACACTTCAAAAGCATACCAGCATACTTTACAGTAGCACGATCTATTCCACAGCAAGCACAGGAGAACAGGGAGGCTCAGGTTCGTAAACATGCAGCAGGTACATGTTGTTTGCCGAGATCTTAGCTGACAATGACTCATTATTTGTTCAGGATCTTCAGGATGTGGGACAAAGCCAACAAGCTACACTGCAAACATAGAGAGCTGACACCATTATCGCTGTTTAAATGTCATACGGCCTGTAAAAGCTGCACAAAAAGCTTCAAAAAGTTCTCTTCTCAGTCAGTGTGATGAACAATGAGTTGATTAAGGATTTCACTCTGAGTTACCCAAAGTCACAGCACTTAATCCCTCCTTCATTTACCTCTAACACCAAGACTGTCTAATGATAATCTTTAGATAAAACTTATCTTCCTTATCTTCTGACATTGAGATTGAAAACTTAAAGGACCATTATATAGTGTCATACCAAGGTGTGAAGGTAGCTGCCCATCTGCAGCAGACACTCCAGGGTCTCCATCATCTGCTCCCTGTGCAGAGTGTGCAGTCTGGTGTAGTTGGGAGATGTACTGGTTTCCAGCTCTCGTACTGTGGCTTTTAGGGCAACTGAAGCACACTGGAGGACACTCATTCCTAGAAACACATGCAAACATTTGATAAATTAAACATCTGGTTTAACTTTAAAAAGTGTGAGCAGCTCGATTTAGAAATTAAATTATCTACATAAGAAAACAACTGACAACAAGCCAGGTGGTCTCCTCTTTAGGCCAGAGGATGCAGAGTGCAAGAAGAAAGTTAAATGTTGATTTGTCAGACCCTGGAACAGTCTTCCTCTTCACTTTAAACCTTCTGAAATGGGGTCAGGCCCAGTGAAGTTCTTCAAGTGTCAAGGTCATGTTTGAATTTGTAGATGCACAGTCAGAGGTTTTTGGAAGAAACTTTGAGCCCATGCAGTGATTTCTATACATCTTACCATCTTTTTTTTTTTTTTTTTACAAATTTGAAGTTGTAATCGATATTTTCATATGGAAATAATTTAATTTCTAAAACAGATTTTTGCTATTTTAAATTTTTTTCTTTGTATAGGGGAAGTGCAAAGCTGCTAATCAAATGGGACTCCTGTAGGCGAGTATTTGGTTTAAGGTGTTTTATAGGTGTTGGCTCTGAACTTGACAGGCGATCAAAGTTTTCTGGCACAGCAAAATATGATAGGCTGTGTGTTACATTAAAGTGTGTTTCCATTTTATTCATTATAAACATCTGTTTTGAATTTAAGCCCTATAAAAGCAATAAATTATCATCATTATTTAAAATCTTAGAGATCTGAAATATTACAGTACTCACCAGAGTTATCAGTGGCTTCAACGTCAACATACACACCATCCATCATGGCGTGTTTGAGGACCTTTAGAAAACAAAACAAACACAAAGGTTAAGACAGAAATTCACAAACATACTCTGTGCATGCAGCCGAAAAGAAAAACCAACATCAGAGAACTCTTGGCATCCAAAACTTTTTTTTTGTTTTGTTTTTGTTGCTGGTTTTATTTCTGACGGGTGTGCAGAGGCTGAATTTTCATATAACTCACTCTAGAAAATAGTCAAAACTAAGGGTTGGGTTGTAGGGCGTTACAGAATTGCAGCTCCAGCTCCAGCCCCAGCTAGTAGCGGTGGTTGCTTTACAGTCTAGGCACAACATGTGACTGAAATTTCAGGGCTATAAAAATGAAAATTTATATTTTGCTTGACCAATAAGTAATTCTGGTATTTACAAGGGTGACAGCATTTGCTGTTCAGTCTATGGAAAACCCAAACTCTCTCCAAGCCAGCTTACGTGTAGACTATGCGGCTCTGATGTTATAGTATGTGCCAAGCCCTCGTCTGTAATGCACATCTCCAGTGCCAAAAAATCAAAATGACAAAAGCAAAAATGCAGAGCCTCCAAGAGTATGAAAAGGTGAAGCTATATAAGACGAGTCTATCATGCAAAGGTCATACAGTTCTATACTCCTCATTTTCTAAATTATGGTTAAGCAGCCGAACTGAGTCAGTGGAACATGTCCATGTATCCATCAACAAAAGACGTCATATTGAGGGTTTTTTTGCTGAAGAGATGACCAACAGATCGATGGACAATAACGGAAATCTTGGGACGTTACAGTGATGTCTATAACTGTGGGGAACAAACTTCCTTGAAACTGCTCATTTTAACCTGTGCAAATTGTTTCTCACTCAGTGACAAAAATAACATCCCCAGCACAACCGTCTGATTTGGAAAAACAAGTACGAGGACACTGAGTGCAGTGATTGTGTTGTTGCGCAACAATTTAATTAAGGTACACCAGCTTCATTTAGCGTGATGAATAATGCTTCGGCAATGAGAGGAATTCAAAGCACACATACCTGCCGCCCTCATATAGCTGCAGGTGGAAAGATGGTGCTAGACATGTCAACTGAATAAATAACTTGGGTTCAAGGTGGTACTGGAGCATGTTCTGTCATTATCGGTTTAACAGCATTCGATTTTATTGACAGATGAATGGTGGTCAAGCGATTAGCGCTGACACCTATCAGCGCAAAAGGGATCCAGATCAAGCTTGGTCAGGGTTTGTCTGGGTTCTTATTAAGCACGACAAAAACAGGTTTGGTCAGCTGTTACAGATTAACAGTAGTCTAACAAAGCTCAAAGGTAATTTAAACACAGTATTTAATAAAAGTAATGACACTGTGCCCTAAGGATGATTTCGTAAGTGTGCTGATCATCAGATTTTGAAAAACAGCATTTTAATCAAAAACTGTTCTTAAATATCATTAGGTTTGAATGTGTGTGCAGAATGCAGAAGAGTCTCATTGTTATTTTCTGGCAGAAGTGCTCGAGTCCAGGCACACTACATGGTTTGACTCATGTTGCACCAAAAACAAACCACCAAACAAGCCTAGATTGTGAGCCGCATTATTAGCAAAAAGTAGTCAGGTGTCCCAGTTCTGCATAATTTAAAGCTCCTGTGAGGAGTTTTTTCAAGTTTTTAAAGTTTATGAGATACACAAAAATTCATATAAATGCCTTTTTACAATGAACAAAAGCAAACAAGACCAACAATTTTTAGATTTTGATTTTTACTGCCTGAATTGGGTGTGGAGGCAGGTGTCAACCAGTTAAAGGTCAAGTCAAAGTCACCAGACAAGATTTCTGTCAGAGGACACCCATCAGGCATGTAGAAGACAAGAATAATAATAAAAAAATCTACTCTGTCCACAGGGGGTGCCAAAGTTGATGCAAGCTTAAAGTTCCTCACAGGAACTTTAAATACTGCCCAGAGCCAAAGCTTTGTTTTTACCAATGCTGCTGTTTTTCTTTTCTGTCTCTCTAGCTGCTTTCCTTTGAATTATAAATGTGAGTGAACCAGGCTGCTCCATTGGTAAATTCCAGACCATGTACAAACTTATTTATCCAAGTACCCCAGGATTTGATTCATTTAAGTCTCACTCCGAACCTTTATTTTTTTACGACCTAAAGTGTTCTCAGTGGTCTTTTAATTATGATAATGAAGTTTTGAGACAAAATCACGTTACTAATTTGCCTCTGAGTCGTGGGCGGAGACAATGTTGCTTTGCACACTCCTCTTCACACTAGCTTGTAGCCTAACATTGCAGGTGTAGTAGAAGTGGCAGGTAACGTAGGAGCTATTCAGCTCTTGGACATTAATGTCTTTATGGACATGATAAAAGCTAACATCATAATTTGCTTTTTTTACGAGCATTGCAACCCGCTAACGCACCCATTTGTTCCGCAGTCGTCCCCTTTACTTCTCAGGGTCTGGCCTGCATAGCAGGGTCGCCGGGTGCGGAGCATAAGTTTGTGACGTAGAAAATCTCATTGTGTCTAAACTTGTCATTTGGGTCTGCCAGATATTCACAGCTATTTGAATGCAGAAATACTCCCTGGTTTTCCTTTTTCTTTTCAGGTGCTTTACAAAAAGACATCTACAAAATGGTACAAAGAATAAAAAAACAAGGGTAAATCATGCCGCAGTGCAAATAAGGTGAACTGCTCAAAGTACAGCGGGTTTCTGAAGACATGTTCCATAAAAAGTCTGTCAGCAGATGGTGTGACAAATCTGGACACCAAATTAAGGTGCACTGCTTGATTGCTCTTGAATGCCTCCCTTACTGCGCCTTTACTCCACTGTGACACATGGTGACTCTCAAAAACACAGATATGTTTGGAAATCCTGCTGTGCCCTCACTGCTTTTGCATTTCTAGGAAAACAGAGTCTGCATGTGTTTTGACCTTGGTTGCCTTCTCCACAAATGTTTCATTCTCATCAAACATCTGCTGCATGTATTTAAACGGTGCAATTATAGTGCAGACGGAAAGCTTGGAAACTAGGCCGAACCTGCGACTACTTGAACCAACTGTTTCGTTTCCGTTTCTGCACCCCGACTCTGCTAAAGGTACACAGTGTTCTTGTTGTCTCTGTATGCGTCACCCGTCAGGCGGACGAAATCCTCCCACAGGGTCAGACACATGATGCCAACAAAGTACTGCACGTTCAGCACACACTGAATAACCGCAGAATGACACAGTGTATTTACAAACCGGCTGTGTTGTTTTTTTATCCGGGTTTTGCAAAGATTCAATTAGCTATGCCAATAAAAATAAGAGGCTTAGTGACATGAGAACCGATATACATGTGAACATGCACCCAAATAACCTGTCAGATCAGAGGAAAGTATATTCATTTGTGACATATGGTGTCGGGTTTCTGATGTTTTGAGGTGTTGAAAGATATTCTTATAATCAGACAAGAAAAAAAAAAGGGTAAACACGTCTGCTTCCCACAGGATCATGTGTTCCAGCACGCATCAGCTTGCTCCACTTCTCTACCAAGTGTGTGTCTCTGTATCTCTGTGCTGATCTGTTTTCTTTAAATTAAAATAATCATTGAAAATATGTAATGTGTTAAATACCATGTTAAACAATGACAAACAACCAAAACCGCATTTTAGAGTTTAAGACGAGACAAAGCTCTCACCTCCAGAACTCTGACGTAGCCTTTCTCAGCGCTGAGGTGGAGGCACGACTTTCCCAAGTAGTTCCTCTCATTGACATTGGCCCCTAATCGAATCAGATCTGCAACCATCAAGTGGTGGTTGTGCTTTGCTGCATGGAGGAGGGCAGTCTGCAAACAGAAGCACATTAATATTAATCAGCAGGGTTATTTAATGGTGCCGCAACATGTGGACTACAAACCACATCCTTAAACACCCTGCAGAATTTATTTGCTCTGTTCAGTCTGAGGTTTCAGAAGGAGAAGCTGCATTCTTTAGACCTTTCAGCACTGGATATTTTATTAATGTTTGATTTAGACAAATATCAAACTCAGAGGAGCTGTACTGATCTAAAAGACCAGGTTTAATCTTGATACCTAGACATCGAAATCCTTACCATGCCCTCTGAATCTTTGAGGTCCAGGCTGTTGAGTGCAGCCATCCTTTTAGCGATGGCGTATCCCAGCGCCCTCTTCCCGACACACGCCACTTTATGGAGAGCTCTTGGGGAACAAGCAAAGTCCATGTTTTCATTAGATATTAAAAAGTGAGGGTATTTACTGACAATCATGTTGAAGGATTACCGGTGTTTGTCTTTTTGTTTTTTTATGTGTGCATGTAGATGGAAAGCTCTTTTTAAACTAAGCTTAAGTGGGACAAAAAGCCTGCAGGCCTGTTAGAGCAAAAATTAAAACAAAATTTAAAATAATAAAAAGCTGTTACTCATAAATTGCTCTGCTCTCTCTGCTCTATTCAAAAGTCCCTGTAAGTCATAACAGGGTTTTTTCTTACTGCATATGAGAGGAGCCAGAAAGTGAAGCAACTAAACAGGATTTTACCATGAATACTCTGTAACATGTTGTGTAGTTAGACTATGGGCCACTATGTTGCCTTGTGGGTCATGTAGGTGCTTGATTTTGATGGCACACGGAGCTCCTGTCTTCTCTTGGTTTAATCTTGTAGGTGTCTTTGGATCTTTGCTACAGATGCCTGACTCAGCTGCTACAACTCCAAGTACCAGCCTCACCCTTACTGTCTATTTGACAATGCTTATGTTAATTTTAGAGCAGCTTGTCATCAATTGTTTTAATTGATTTGATTATCCCTTCCCCCATTACCAATACCATTATTATAAAACCAAATTAGACCTACTAACCTCGACTGCCATGAATATCTAGATCAGCCTATCATGAACCCTGTGTAAGTATTGAGACTGAATGGCCCTGGGTGTGTGAAGCCTCTTGAGGTGTATGTTGTGAATTGGTGTCATATCAACAGACTGATTGATCAAATGTTCGCACACATACAACTTGAGTTTGGCACGAGACTTACGTCCTGCCCTGGTCATCGGTGGACAGCAGCACAGAGTCAGCAATGTGTCTCAGCTGGCTCTCCTCTTTCTGCAGCTGGGTGAAGAAGAAAGCAGAGCTGTCCACGCTCCAGTCCTGGTTCGGGATGTCAAAGAAGTCCTCCATTCCTGCTCCTCCTCCTCCATCTCCCATGTGACCAACGCAGGGATGCTGGAGGCTATTGTGCATGAAGGTAGTGGGAGACAGGGCCTGCTGGTACTCCAGCGAGCCAGGTGAGTGGCTCATGTAGGACTGGGGGCTGGGGATCATTTCATCAGACTCATCGCTGTTGTACCCAGCACCTTCAACAGAAACAGGTAACGTTAGAGTATTTGGCATCTGACATCTGAAAAAGTGGAATTTGGGCTAAAACTCCCAGACGACCTTCACCACTTTTGCTAACTGTATACATGTGAATATGATCAGCTGACTTACCAGTTGGAGACCACTCAGGAGACACAGAAGAGCCAGGGGAGGGCAGAGACTGGGGGGGTGAGCAGTATGTGTTTCCAGTCCTGAGATCCTCCTCCAGAACCTCCACAATTATTGCCAACTCCTCCAGGCTCTTTGTGGGGCGTTTTCTCTGACAGCCAAAGACAGTAAAGGTATGCATACTTATCTTAAAGCTGTTCAGAGCTGTCATGTGATTTACAGAGATCCATAAAGCTGCACAGAGCTTGTGAAACCTTTTGGGAGGAACTAAGGTCTATTTTCAAAAAATCTCACCTTGGCAGTTCGGCGTCCTGTGCGAGTTTTGACTCGTTTCTTCTCTCCTGTAGTAGAATATGTCAAGTTTAAGTTTGAGAGTGCTTTACAACATGTTTGCTCTCACTCAAGTATCAGGCTTAAGGCGTGCTGGTGTGTGTGTGCTGCAGGTTTTTGTTCCCTCTTGGTGATTGTTTAACCACATTGCCCCTGTGTGTGTGCCTGGACTTAAAGCTGCATTTGACTCTGGATTCTGTCAATTGGATTGGATTTGGCTGTTTTTAATAGGCCTCTTTCTTTTGCTTTTTTTCTGTCCAATACAATGATTTATCAGAAGAAAATGTAGATCAGCCCTCCTTCAGTGCTGTTTATCTGCAGCTCGTGAGCTGAGGTTAACAGCAGCTCCACTGGAAGCTCTAAAACTTCACCTCGGATAAATCAATCATTTCAAACACATAAAAGTGCAATATTTAGTGTTTGAAAGGTGAGGTCCTCTGCTGATAACTCTGCTCCAGGTAAAATATTTTAAATTCTGCTCAGTGAAGGAGTCCCGACCTTTAAAACCAGCTACACAACCAAAGCTATCAGCAGCTGAATATGAGGGCCTTCTTAACATCCTGACACGTGTTTGCAAAAGAACAAATGAGAATTATCACCTGAACCTGCTTATCCAGTAGCCGTACTGTTTGTTATTCATTATTAAAGTCGATAATTTAGCCTTCTGGTTGACAACCTGGGAGAGGGTGTACACTAAAGGGTCACTGTGAGACTGATTTCATATGTTTGCAGCTTTTCCTGCTAAAGCTCCGGCTTCGCTCGATTTAAAAAGGCTGCTAGTAAAAACAGGAGAACGTGCAGTTATTAAACAAACTAATGAATCATTAGTTGATTCATAAACAGCAGATCTAAACTGTTGACTAAAAGGGAGGCGGCCCTCATGAAGATAGGCGTATTAGCCCGTTAGAAAAAACAACAACAATCTACAGCACAGCACTTCACCAACTCTTACAAATCTCTCATACTGACCTATGGCTGTTTTTCCGCACTTCTCCTGCAATGACACAAAAACAACAAATGCATCAGTTTGAATTGTGTATTTAAAACAGCACACACTATATATGTATTACTGTAAAAAAACAACAGAGACCTTGGATTGAGGGTGAAAGTTTAAACTTTGGTTAATACCTTTGCAGCTACTTTACGCATGTGCATGAAAACCTGCGCATCACATTAATACACTGAAGAAAAGCAACCCTGCTGTTCCTCTGCAGAGAAGTTTGTGCAAAATGAATTTATAATTAAACTTTAGGTTGACGTTATCAACCTTATATGATTAATGGAAAGGGTGGATGAAATATAACATAGAAACTGTGCTTTGGGGATGTATTTTGGTTTATGGTCTTTAAACTCTGCTGCTAAATCAAAATTGCAGTGGACCTGCAGTCTGTGGAGGCAGATTTTTGGCAGAACCTAGAAGTAATCGGTTCCAAAATCTTGGGTCAAAAAGCCCTTAACAACCCAAACTACCTCAGGCATATGTTTATATTCTGAAACTCAACACAGAATCCCACCCATAATCCTGGATTTGTGTATACAGAAAAATCAAGGTCATTGTATCTACATTTGAAACTGATGGTAACTTTGTCAGGTATGTTCTGACAATAATTGTACCTGAGGATCTTGTGGATCCCTGCCTTGTGCCAGTCGGATGTTTCTTAGGAGATCCCTTACTGGCATTTTGACACGGACCCCCAGGTAGACCTTTTCACCATCATACAGGGGACATCTCGTACCTTGTAAGGAAACAGAAAAGATAACTTATTGAGGTGGATGCAAAACTGCACAGGAATGGACTGAGAAAATCACACAAACAAAAGTCATCGGTAACTTCCATGATCTGCGAAGTAGAATAACTGTTTTTATCAACAAAAAGTGCACTGTGGTAGATTTTCCTTGCACAAAAAGCATCTTGGTTTTAAACAAAATCTTTCTGTAATATCACCAGATGCTTGTTACCAATGCACCTGTCAGTGGTAAAATCACTCTGTTCATGGGGTGCATTTTCCTGCAGGGATTACACAGCTGTTACAGCCCATCTCAAAACTGCAGGCTCCAGCTGTTGACTGTAACAAGTCCAAAACATGTTGTACTCTTTATTTCTTTAGACTATGTGCTGCAAAGGAAACATTGCAGGCACTACAACTGTTTACCTGCCTCCAAAGTTGTATTAGTTTTACTTTCCATTTAGAAAAGAAATACATTGAAATAATACCCCAGATCAAAAATACAGTATTTATAAATGCTGTGTTAGACATTTCTTTTAATTCTGCTTTTGTCTTATGAGAGCAGATTTAAATCAAAAGGAGGCATCTTGCACTCTTAATATGGCACAGTGGGCCTAATGTAGGGACATGAGCAGACAAACTATTTCAATGCATTTTAAGAAAAAAATTGGAAGTAATGTATAATTTTAAATTTGGCAATGTTGATTGATTACCTTTGACATTTTTAAGCCTGAAAAAAAAATGACATGTCAGAGATGCATTGTTGAATGTCGTTTACCTGTGTTCTGAGGCGTTCACGTACAAATGTGTTCAATAGCAAAGTTTACATCCATCAACCAACACTGCCAATAGTTTCATGAGTTATTTGTGCAGTAGAAGTAAAGAATACTTTAAATAAAAAGTGCTAACATGACAATGTAAGTCTTGTTCTCAAAGGCAAACGCATTTTAACCGACACAAACACACACAGAGCCATGGAGCCTCCATACAGTTCCTCCTACCGTCTTTTCCTCCCGGAACAGGTGCGTGTGTCTCGGCCAAGCCCGCCGCGGTTTTCCCTGGCGGAGGAGCCCCGAGGTTTGAGGCCCCTTCGCCTCTTTCTTTTGAGTCTTTACGTTTGAACCGTCCTCTCATGCTGTTCCCCCGATGGTTCTGTCAAAGAAGAAGCCAAAGTGAGCAAACAGGAGTTCAGCTCTCCGGTATAAAGACTGACAGGTGAAGTTATACCAACCTTTTCTTCCCCTCTCGCTATATATGGCTGAATCGCCGCACCTGTCTGTCAGTCCAGGTATCAGTGACAGCTCAGACTGAGCATTATTCTCCAGAAATGTGACACTTGGTGTACCAAAGAGGAGAACTACCACGCCTTTTGCTTCAGGGGATGAGCAGTTAACGCCCACACTGAAGAACAACTGAGTAATATTAGGCAGAAGTATGTAACCATGACGACGCCACACTTCCTGTAATACTTAAATTGTTAAAGCGTTTGTTATTTTTCAGGAGCAACTTCAGCAAGTACAAATCAGCAGTTCTGATTGGATCTAAATCTCCTGGCTGCAGCATGTAATGATGTCTTTATGTGAAACTCTTATAAAGGTAAATAAAAAAGAAAAATACCCAATAAACAGCCCACAACACTGACACTATTGGGTAATCCTGCTTTGATACTTTTAATGAACTTTCCCATAAAGTTACAAGCTACTGAAATTCCCTCAGATCAGTTCAACTCAACCAACTTTCTCTTCTTGGGGTTCATTTGTAAGAAGCAGCATGTACAATAAAAACACCAATCAAATAAGGTGGCATGCAAAGTTACAATTTTTAATTCACCACATAGTTCTTAAGCTTATGGAGTAAGTTAGCAGAGCCAAATATATTTTTTATTTGCAGCTTTGCAGATTTGGGGTATCTAAAGGCATCAGTTCATACTCTCAATCTGTTTTGTTACCCGACATAAACTCTTGATTTGAGCCTTAAACTTAAATAACCAAAGTAACAGCTAATAGACAGATAGCTGCACCAATCTGTCGCTGAGAGCAGGCACGCCCTTAATTTCACACAATTTTGAGCTTAATGTAAAAAATTAGAGCCTGGTAGTTATCATGATTAGAGACTGTCACATCTCTTCTGCTTGTACACCCTCCAACTCGTTGATTCACATATTTCATTTTGCATCTGCATCTACAGATTAGGTCCTCCTGAAGAAATGCATTGATGATGTTCTGCAGAGCTCCAGTGTCATTTGCACAAAAAGGCAGAAAATGTTGAGGTTTGACAGGAACACTGTCAACAAAGTATGTGAGAGGACCTGAGAGCTTTACAAGAAGATAGTTGGTGTCGTTGCAGTAATTGGCCTGATACTTATTCCAGTCTGCTTACAATGAGGGCCAATGTGACTTCCAGAGAGGAGCATCAAATGTATAATAACAGCACTTTAAGTATTCTTTCAACCTGCTGACAGTCACCTTATCTGTGACCCCAGATAATCCTTAAACTATGCTGGGTTTGTTGGAGCACTGCAGTTCAAAACACTCCCAGATATCAGTGTTGACCTCTTTTAGGGTACATTTCCCTGCTAAACCTTTAATCCACGGGTTTTACTTCTCTTTGTTTGTGCACTGAGAGCTTGATGCTGCCTCAGGGGAAGCACCCTCCAGTTCCAGGACACACCTCCACCAGATTTGGTCTCTTGATGTGTGGTCTCTTCAGGAGTTCTTGCTTGCTATGAACTAGGATTTAATACCTCAATGTTTATGCAGAGTCATGGTGAAGGTATGACCCATTTCTTCTGGTCTTTTCTGTTGGTTACCATCACCTAACCTTTTCTGCATGAGTTAAATTTCAGAGTAATTCCATAGACTCAATAATGTTCCAGTGCAGCCCCAAGTTCAACCTCAAGCCCCCCACTGCAAGAAGATGGACCGCACTCATACAGCTCTTTTCTGGTCTTGCTAAATTATCCCCTAAATACACTTTCTTTAAACTATGCCCACCCCTGGATCTGATGGCTGTTTACTTCTTGTGCCTGATTGGCTCCTTGGCCGGGCACATTTTCAAAAATGCATTGGGATGTTAGCTTTAGTGTGCAAATAAATGGCAGGGACACTGTGTAGGCAAAGGGGATGTGACAGTAACACAGCAAGGACAACAATAACAGGAAGCTGAGTGGCTGCAGTGGATGTGGAATTCTGCAAAACTGGTCACAGATTGTTTTTTTCCAAGTAAAGAGGACAAGTTTTGAACATTAAGTGGGGCGCTGTCAATGATGTGTTCTGCTTACAGGTAATCAGTTCCCTGAACTGACTCAGGAATCTTTCACTCACCAAGACGAAGACCCTGACTGTACATAGCAGTTACGACATGCAATTCTGCCATATCTTTCGTTTACATCTCGTAAATCTGACAGTTGCAAACAGCCTGAGCTCTCCAGTGTGCCTTCTAGAGGTCACCTCCAGTAACACTTGTTATACATTGTCAAGTGCATGAACAACTACAGCGAGTTCCTTCCCCTGCTGGTTGTGTACACAAATACAAGGTTAAAAAGTTAACTCTTAGATCCTGCAGGGGTACCAAAAACCAGCTAAACATTGTTAAATCTTTGTTTATGCAGTACAGCTGGAAGGTTCAAGAGCCACAACTTTCTGAAATCCCAGAGGCTTGTTCAATGAAAGACACTCACCATACGCCTCAAGATTTCAAAAGTCTTTGAATCTTTAAAGCCTCAGTCTGTTACCCTTCGAGACACTTATAAGTTGCAAAAGTCTAAAAATATTCTTGTTTAGTTTACTGCCACTGTGTGTTACAGAAGAGGCGTGTTCTGTACAGTGTTAAAGCCATGATATTTGATGAGTTTGTATCAGGGAGGTTTCAAAGTGATGAATTTCCCAGTCATTGAAATGGAATTGACAGCTCCTCTAACTTAAAGGCATGTTCACATGCACATTTATAGTTAACTTCATGACATAGAAAGTTACAAATGAAGCAGGGATTTTTTTTCATCTCATTGTGTCTCACCAGCTTACCATCAGAGCTGCATTAACAGTGTACACTCCTGGGTCCAAACAACACATAACATAGCAACTAAATCTGGAGGTAATGCAATTTTCTTCGAATAAGGCCAAAGAGGAGTTACCAACCAAGTTTCTCCCAAACCTGAAGCGCCAAAATCTGCAGTATCCTAATTGGCCACTTGAAGTTGACGTCAAAGTACAGTAGGTCAATCTTTTCATAACCTCTGTTAAACTACACAGTGTGAGAATTGAACTAGTTTAAACTCTGTTATGACTAAGAGGTGACTAAGTTGATATCTCTGTTCATAATAACTCATAAACACTACGGTGCCATTTTTACACCATAACGCTCTAAATAGTGTGAAATTTGGGGTGTGGCTGCTTTGAGCAGACATGTTGGTACCACAGTCAGGCTGCTAGTCGTTATTACGAAACACTAATGAGGCCATCAGAAACAAAACTGAAACCCAATCCGTTTATTTTCAATACAGACTTGTTTCCATTACCACGGGGATACTGTGGAATATGTTCATAAAAATGTTACTTAATGGTATGCAAATAATTCCAAAACTCCTTTTGATGAAAAGTGCTGCAAAGATGATGGATCCAATGTTGAATCTGAAAAGTTTTGAAGGTGTTTGTTGAGCGCCAAATATTTTCAGTAGGTTACAAGTTGGTGCAGGCAAACTTGTCTAGTACCTGAAGTCTTCTGTGGCGCCAGGCTGCTGTAATCGATGCAAATTGTGGTTAAGCATTTTTTTTTTGCTGTGAGGTTGTCTCTTGGAAAATGAATAGTCTGAATAGCAGGACATGTGGCTCCAGAACTTGTCTTTATCAGTCCACCTTAAATGTACCCAGGCTCAAAGAAGTTGCCACCACTGCTGATTCATAGTTTTCTCTTTGTTGGCTGTAATTCTGGCCTTTATTTGTGAATGCAGTTATGAACTGTTTTTATGATAGTTTTTGGATGCAATTTTGAGCACATGCAGTGACATCCACTACAGAGTCATGTCTATTTTAAATGCAGAACCTCTTAAGGATCGGAAGATCACAGCTTTTAATAGTAACTTTTAATAGTAACATCTCTTATTTACAATGTTTTTTGGTGCTTTATTTGTTATAACTTTTTTGTGATGTCTCATTAAGTCAGTCCAGAAAGGATAATGAATGCTGCAGCTTGTGTGGTTTTTATTTCTCGGTTGTATAAACAGGATTACGCAAACAAAGATCTTGAGAGAGGTTTGTTTCATTATTTCATTGAGACAATACTCACACACTCTTGTGTGCACTGACAGTATTTGTGGTCGGTGGAATAGTTTTTTCCTGTCAACACCATCTTCATTGAGATCTTTTCTTGATAACGATTACAAGTATCTCACACAGAGAAAGCTGACAAAAGCGACGGCCTTGTAAACACAGTGATGGAGGCTCGGTGTCATTCTTCAGAGATGACTGTGTTTGATTAGCTGCTCTCCCTTTTTTAGCAGCTCTATTTGTAACTCGTGGTTTTAATGTCAGTGATTTTTTTTCATGTTTGGCCATAACTCACCTGTTAATCAGAGTTAAATAGATCTTGATTTGCTTTCTTTTGAAGTGTAATTAAAAAACATCTTATGATTTGACACTTAATACAACTATGAGGACTAAGAGATTGATCTCAGCACTTCATTATTATATTTATGGACAGTTTTTTTCTGAACTCAAAATAAACATGGTGTGCTCTGTCACTGTAAAAATGTTCTACTGATGTATCCAGATTTGCAAGCAACATCCAGAAACCTGATGTTAACATGTAGCTGATTCCTACCTCTGAAGATGAACTTAATCCCATAAAATAGCACTAGAGGAATAAGTTCTCAGTAACGATACACAAATTAGGGATTTTAACTCAAACAAGTTGTACTCAGAAGTAATAAAATAATAAACTAGAAAATGATAAATATAAATAGAGTTTTGATTGGAAAGCACCAAGCACCAAACTCCTGCAAACCATAAAATTTTCAGGGTGAGCTTCAGCTGTAAACACATATGTATGGCCAAAATTTCACCCTGGTTTGAAGAATAATTTTTAGGACATAAACATACAAAATGTCACACAACTGTCTCTTTACAGTGTAATGCAGCACTGATGTGAGTGCAGAAACTGTCATTGGTGACTTAGGTCTCGATCCCCATCCCTACTCTCAGCTGGCTACAACAGCAAAAAAAAAAAATCCCATTTGGCCCTTTATAGAAACAGCAACTTTATTTATATTTATATTTTTATTTATATATTATATTTATAAGATATTTTCAGTCTGATTCAAAGATCATCCAAATGAAGACTTATACAGATAATCAGCTGATGAGTCGAGAGGCAGATGAAAGGGTTGTAGTGG